AGTAAGCGGGCATTGTTTTATCAGTGATAATCAAACGGCACCCAAGGTCTACCAGTCTTATAAATATTAACTTGCTTTTATGAGCATTCGCCGGTATTTACACCCCATATTATTTATGTAATGGGGACTTATATTGGACACGCGATCTTCTCGAACAATGCAAGGAGACGCGGCCCATCATCAGCGACCTAGACTTCTTTCCACTTTAATTGTTCCTCACATCGATTACAACGTATATTTCACTGAAACAATAGATTAACCCAGTTGCGGCATGTTCTATAATTGTTATGGCGTTTCTCGTCCCGCGTTATTATTGCTTTCGTATCCTTGGCGTGAGCGGCTATCTATCATGTGATCTATTGTACGTACAGTCGACATCGGTATTAGATTAAAGCGATAATTAATGCTGATTCCATACGACCTAGATTCGGGCCCGCTCGATAAAGTTAATTTACAGTTATAGTTGTAAATCTCGTTGCAAAATAAACGGCGAGCACGCGCGCCTGCCTGACCGTAGACAACACGCGGAGACTCCCACACACACCTCGATACGTCAGCAGCGCCCTCCCCCGCGCTGCCCGTGTGTGCTCCGCGTGAATGGGACCCTTCCCGAATCGTAAACATCACGTCACGTGGCTGCATGCGCGTATAACCCGACCTCATCGCAAAACACCCTCGCACGAACCCTCCGAACGCAAAGCAGGGCCTTTTCCATCCCGCCGGAGTTTAGGGAAAACGCACGCATGTGTGACGAGACAGACGAAACAACACACGTGCGTGACCCACGCGCGAGAGAGAGGGTGCGTCAACTTTTGTCTGAATGAACGGGGTGAAGTTTGACAAGTTGTGTACACATGGCCGCGAAAGGGTTGAGCCGAGTTGCGAACTAAGTTTGTGAACGCTTTCGATTTCAACGCGTGTTGCATATGGGGCGAGTTGTGATCGATCGTAAACTTTGTTGTGGGATAAGTTCAGTCGGTATTTCGTTAAATCAGATTAATGAAGTCGGCTAAACTTAGTTGGACGTTAGACATTGCGAAAACTCTGTCAAAATAAAGTTGTGAAAATTGTGATAAAAATGTCGGATCGAATCGTCGTAGTCGTGCTAACGTATTGCGACCACGTCTGGTTATCGGGTATGTTTCGTAAATCATTGTTTATGGTCGAATAGTTCTCTGAAGGGGTCCGAGAGACCGGAATTAGAAAGCGTCAAGCGCGCCGACTGCGCTACGACTAATTGACCGCAAGGTTTACGCGATTCTGCTAGAAATTGTGACGTAATATAATAATACTGAAAATGACACTGCCTGTTATACGTCGCCTACAAAAAGGAAGTTTATTTTCACGGACGTCATAATCATATAATAACTCAATTTCACAATGCTGGCCGAAAATAAATAGACAACTAGATACAACAGCTATTTTCGTCAAATTCGTTTTTTAAATCTGACGTTAAATTACTTGGTAACCTGTCAGCTTTCGCGGTAACTCACTCGTCTGAATCGATATTTTACTTAGTAATTCCAATTCGAAGATTTAGAACTGTATTAAATGTGAAAGCATTGTAATCTAAAATACGTTTCTAGTTTTAATGAGAATTTTCCAAATTATGTCAAAATAATTCTTAGTTCGTCCGTTACAACTGTGAATTGGAGAAACTAAATCGCGGAAAACACTGAACGAGAGTTTCTTTCCTCGTGTCTTGGGAAACAGATCATGATATCATAATTATTTTTCTAAAAATATGTTCAGCAAATAACAATGGATGCCTTCGCAATAGTAGTCTATATCACGAAAAAAAAACATGAAACTGTCCATATTTCCCAACAAGTAACCTTGTAGTGCTGTACCTGCGTCGTAAAATAACAATATTAATGATCATTAACACTACCGGTAGTTTATTAGTCACTGTGTCCATCATTTTTTTCATGATTTATATTAAAAATGCCAATTATTATAAATCCATAATACACTTAAATCTATTACACACTTTAATCTAGGTTTATCAAATTTTATTAAGACCTCGCAATTAAATTATTAAACACCGTTCACAGTTCTATTCATATAATTACAATTACAAACATCGCTAATTTTAAAACTTACTCTGTTACGGTTTCTTTACAGAAAACATAAATCTAACGTTTAAATATTTTGTAACCACCGTTTAACTATCTACGTTTAAATCTGAGATTAAGGAGATAAGTTTAAAAGGGCTATGGAGCGTGCCATGTTAGGCATATCATTAACTACGGCACAGATTCTTATGTTTGAACCAAATTCCAAGATGGAGAACATATTCAAGTCTAAGTAGCGAGACAGTATAATGTACAAGGTAAAAAATACTCTTTAGAAAAAGGAAAATAGTCCAAATTCGTAAAAGAATACAGAAGCACAAAATTTTCCTGTTTGTCTAAGATCAGTTATTCATTCTCTTTCGACCTCCACAACAAACAATTTATCCAATTATCACAACTACATAAAACCGCAATTAACTAACAATAAACCAGGCGATACCCAATGATCAAGTGAACCAAGTTTCGAGATCAACGCATGCACTCGAACATTTATTTTTAAGTCTTCGAACCGATTCGAATGTGGGCTTATTGATTGTCGGTAATTATGCAAAATAACGAGTCCAGGACTGGCTGCTCTAACTAGTGACGTGTATTAACGGTTCGTCAGGACCGTCAGCAGTAAAAGTTTAAGCCGACGTTACAAAGACACTGCGTGCGGAAATTTAATTAATCGAACACACCATAACTTTATACGAAATCGAAAAGAGAATTTATGTTGAAGTTAATTTAATATAGCTGCATTTTATTAAGCTTTATTCGTTCCTGCGATACCGGACCGTACACGTTATAGTGGGTAATAAAAGTGTAGTCTGTGTGCACACATATCGTCGGTAATATACCTATCTGTAGTTTACCTAATTAGACGTACCGACGTTTAGTGTAGTAATGTAGGAGATAACATGGGATTATAGCATAAATGAACAGTTACATCTAACTGTGAAGAAAGTTGCCTTTATAAGCAAAAGCTTCACTGACTTGATTGGATTTCCATATGAGTAAATGTCAGATAGAAATTGTACATAAAATATGCTTTATATTCAGTATCAATACAAGTACTGTTTAGTTAAATATAGTTAGTTTTTATTGACACTAACGCCTTTGACACTAGTTGCGGTGTCAACTAATACAAACTGTGTGGAATAAAACCTATTATACGTGGCCGTTGCTATTTTAATGGTCACATACTGCAATCTGATCTAGCATTCATACCTGTGTTTTCAACAGTAGTTCGGAAAGACGATAGTCGTACATAATAAAAGCCCAGCATATCTTGGATCTACAGTAAAGATACATAGATCTATATAAGTTAGAGGTGTCTCGGTGTAAAGCGCCCAACGGTATCGATTCGTCGCACAATACGTTGCAACTCCTTGAATCGCATCTCATCTGAATACAGAGAAATGGGCAAATGAAATTTTTCATTTCCAGTTCTCTAACTTATCTTTGTACAATGTTTGATTATTATTCTGCCATCTTTTCCTTTTAAGTTCTTTGTGCCTTTATCTACCTAAGTATTCCTCGCAAGTTTAAATTAATCGATAGACAACTTGAAGTTCAAAATATTAGTGTTCTAAACTATTAAAAAAACAAGTATTATTCTTATTCCTCACTGTAACTTAAATATAATCTATCATCAGTCATGATCATCACGATCATATCAGTCACACGTCAAGTCCTCTGCAAGTACTAAAATTAGTTAATATTTTTACGCATACATATTTTAACAAAAAAAAGAAATTAAACAAAATTACATCAGTTAATAAAAAAAAGTACTAGGCGCATATAAGCGCAAAGCACTACAGAACAAAAGGTTCGCAATAAAGCAGCGAAGGCGATCGATTTGTCGCATTCGATTAGCGGGCAACGACACTAAGCGAGATGTTATTTACATCTCGCAGTCTTGTTACCGGCCACTTCACCTCCAGCCCTTCAAACGCGATGAAATAATTGTAATTGAACATGGATTTCTACATTGAGATATTTATTAATAATGTTCAATTCATTCCAATTAAAATTTATGTTGAGTTTACACTAATTACTAGAGAAAATTATTACGTCTGCTAGGTGTTAATACTGTTGAAGTGCCTGTTGCAAATTAATCTTGTTTCGATGTAGGGACTCTGTAAATTATAGAGGACAGCACTTACAGGTATAATACTAAACTAAATCTACAAGTAACTCTGAATTTTATATCCCAATCAAAAAGTTAATTGTAAACTTAACACTAATAACAAACTGTGATTTAAATGCGTTCAATGTTACACATTCGAATTTGAAACGCACGGCCCGCCGTATACAACTAACGCCATCTAGCGTCGAGTAGCTGGACTATTCGTCGCAGCTTTACTGAATTTTGCATTTAACTTCATTTGTATTGCATCTATGTTATGTTCAATTTAGTACTACATAAATCATATAAATTACGCGTATACTACTTGAAATATTTCAAGGTTAATTTTACTGACCCGCTTTTATGTAAACAGCGCTACATTAAACTTATTTTTAATTCCGTAAAGTTCCTAGGCTTTACCCGAAGCCAATTTCAGATAAGGACACGAAAGTGTAAATTTAATAAATGCCTTTTAATATTTATGGGTCACTGCTTTCACTTGCGTACGTACTGAACAATTTATTATTGTAATAGGTGTTTATAATCATAAATCTTTTGACATTTTCGTTATTGAAAAATTTAAAAGGTACAAATCAAATATAGAAATACACTGTTAATTAAAAGTAGTTGAAGTGACAGGAAGGTATAGGGTGAAATTGATGCATTTGAAATGCAACACGTTACAGTCACTCGACTAGTGGTTGTTGCGTCTAGTACCAATGTGTAGTGATTTCAGTTCCACACACCTAATCCTAGTGCAAATCAAAGTGCTTCTGCAGAGTATGTGTTTAATGGAGTGTTATGTGTTGTTACAGTGTTTGGCATGGACACTCCGCTAGGACTCTTCCCGCCAGGGATGGAGCACAAGATGTACCCCATGATGGACGTAGAACACCGCGCGCCGCTTGATTCACAACTATTCACTAACGTGAAAAAGAAATGTAAGCTATTAACTAATATTTAATTATTATTAGTTCCCCAAACTTCTTGTTTTGCCTCTTCGCCAAAGTTCACTTGAAGCTTAGCTATGAACACCGTGCAAATCGTTCGCTACTTCAACCATTCAATTCGATATCAATTTCAAGAATAACAAACGGTCGGTTTCTGTATTACGCCCCAACAATAGCTCCTAGCAAATATTCTTGAAAAGACTCACATACGTATTCAAGTTATCTATGAACAATGGAGCTCATACACTGGCATCACAAATAGACGCGTGCCGTGCCACAACAAAGGATCGAAGCGCAATAATGCACGAGCTGCATCCTCGTCCCCATCACACATCGAGTGGTCCCGCAATCTCGCCGCGCGAATGTTAAACGCCCATTGTTTCTGAGCAAATGTTTATTAAGACGATCTGATAGCGTATCTCATAGGGGAACAGACGCCGACTCTAACGTATGCTTTGAATACGCTGTGTGCCTGGTCGCCGTCGCCGCTGTACAATAGTCGCCGATCGATTAGCGCCCATCGCATCGCTCCGCGCTCGAGACTCGAGACAGGCACACGTGTACCGGAGCTACTGCTCCCCTGCTAACGAGCTACAAATAGAAAACATCCTTTTTAATTTCCAAAGCTCGCGTGACCCCCACGACTATTAAAAGAAAAACTAATTTCCATAATAAAATATCAGTTCTCCGACGTTCCGAAATGTTCCTCGAATTATCTGATCGGAATCGAGTTAACGTGCTCGGTTGAAATTATAAAACTATAAAGTTAGGGGCGACGTCGCCGGCGTATGCATGTCCGCGTTTCTTTTTGACAAACCGCCTTAATAGTCGCGTGCTCGCATCGAATTAATGACAAATCGCCGCCAACAAAATGTCGCCGCAACCCGCTCATTTCGCTCGCTCGCTCCGTACACAGTTATTGCTCAGCCGAAACATGGTTATTAGATAATGGTGCACTCGCGTAATGCCGTCGCGGTGGCGCGGCACACGGCACATGTCGTGCCGCAGAGCCTGCACTTCGCCGCTCGTAAATCACACAACTCCGCGCTCGCGGTTGTTTCCTTATGTAATTAGTTAGCTTAACATTTCTGTTTCGTTGACATGAAACCTCAACTCGCTAAATTAATAATGTAATCTGTATTCCTCAGGGCGACCAAAGGGTCAACACAGCGCGCCGCGCGGTGGTCCACCTCGATCGTGGACGAACGCCGAGCTGACGGAGGCGCTGCAGCACGTGTGGAACAAGAAGATGACGACCAGCCAGGCCTCAAGGATCTTTGGCATCCCATACAACTCGCTGCTAATGTACGTGCGCGGGAAATACGGGAAAAGCCTAAAGTTGGAGCAGCTCAGGAAAGACTGTATTGGCGGCCCCCTCGACGTATTAAATCTTAACTCCGGAAACAACAACAACAACCAGCCTTCGGGAAAACATCACGACAAAGACGACCACTCACAACGACCAGCGAGCTCCGAGCCAGACATCGCCTCAAATCCAATGTTCAATCCATTCCAGCAAGGGTTCTACCCGGAGTTCGCTCCAGGTTTCCCGATGCCACTCAACATGCTACATCTACTCCCGCCTAATGATAAGGCGAGGGAACTATATCAGTCGATGCCGATGGCTCTGGACTCGCTGTCAGGAGTTACGAAGGAGGAAGACTGTAAGAGTGATAGGTCGAAGGAGAACTCCGCCGACGAAGAGGGCGAGTCGTACCGCGCGCCCTCGCACCCGCCGCATCCACCCGACAACCGCACACTGCTGCATCACAACGGCCAGGACTAAGTCCAGCACACCATGTCTACAATATGCACTGTACCTTCAACTGTTACTGTCAGACAAGCGGTCGAGTATATCTACGAGCAGCTAGACGTCTCAGGGACACGCTTCTAGTATCTTGTCATGTTGACGGACTAAAACTGGAATTTAGTTAGTGTATTAATAAGTCTCGTAACGAATCTTAAGTACGTGTTTTAGAAATTAATTTTATATCTTGTGGTCGATCACAAGCCACAGAACTCAAAGTTAATGTGCTTAGTGGTACTATAGTGAAACTTTAACATCTTTAATGTCGACCAGCCAAATGGCGAGGCGACACGTTATTTAAAATTGGTGTAAGTCGTAGGAATGTGAGCAATGGGTTTACTGACGTTTCTCATGTTCCTACGACGTCAATTGTTTATTGTTATTACTTTTGTAGAGGTATCACTCGCGAGGAACTCAATAAGATCTGGCGAGGCGGCCACATATAGTGTAATATTTCGATTGGAACCTAAAACTCGCTTAAATAACTTGACGGTAGCTGAACGCCGTGTATTATTATTGCTGTTGTTTTAATATGCAATTCTAAATTGGATTTTACTATGAATACACTAGAAAGGTTTCAGTTTTACGGATAAAGTAATTTGTATTAGGAAGTATTTGTGAATCCCCGGTATCGCGTCCGGCGACGTCCGCATAAATTAGTTAAATTTATATTAAAAGATGTGTTAATATTGTAAATGTATAATAGTATCGCGTTCTAAGTGATAGGCGATAATTTATTTTGAAGGAGTGCAATAAGTATGAAAGGCGTTGTGATTGTTATCGTTAAGACATTCCGAATTTCATTATTGTTAACACATTCCGTTACATTCCCTATTTTTAGATAGTCTACTATAATTTCTAACGACTTTTATTAAGTATAATGCATTGATTTCTTCATACATAGTGAACCTTTGTAGATATAATGCGTTATACGTGCGAATTCACTTCTGCATTTCACCAAAGTTTGTAAAATATTTCGTAATAATAGTTATAATTCGATGATAAACAATTTTTAAATGTAAATAGTTATTGATAAAAAATTAATGGGATATAAATTTTTGAATTAACCAATAAATAAGGTGGACATTTATATGTGTCTAAAATGGTAAATAGTAGTGTATTTGTAATTGTTGTAGTGTTAGTGATGTGAATCAGTGAGCTGGGCCGGGTAGGGGACGCTGACGTCACAGAGGGCCGCGACGCACTAGTCACACACAATCTACCCACTAAACCTTCGCAGGTAGCGTTCCATACTCACAACGTCACAAATCCAACAGACTTCCTAGATACTAAATGGCGCAAAATATGGACTAACGTCCAATATGTGAAATTTAATTTCATTCAAATTTTATTTATGTAAAAGAAAACTATGATGGTGAGACCTGCAACTATTGTCCTGAACTCAGTTGATTCAGCAATGAATGTTGCGAGTTGGATTATTGCAGTGTTTTTACCCGACTGTAGAAAGGGTATTGTTTTTACAAAAGGTTTTCACCTTAAGATTTCAACGTCGACATAATCATTGTCAGCCCTGAACTTTACAACAATCGATCGAAAAATTTCCACGAAAGAAAAGACAGTGCGCGCCACGATTAGACAAATAATGTATCTGCACTCAATGTTCAAATAAAAAGGAGCTTTCAAGATTTTAGTAAATAATGAAAGTTAGAAATAAAACGTTCAATACTATCTGGCTTTAGATAATTGTATACAGTGATCACTAGAGATACCGTGTGGTTAGTTAGAGTACATCATTTTACCTGTTGTAAATATTATTTGTATTATAACGAAACTGTATCTGTTTATATCGTTTCAACACGCTACACACAAACCTAACAGTATTTACGTTCAATGACAATTCGATTACTTTCAACTATATCGTTCCCGCGTGTTTTACACGGAATTATCAATATTTTCATCCATTCAATTAACTATAGTCGACGGAACATGAAATCTCAACAGAAGACTGAACACTATTTACGATTCTATTTTATAAAAAATATTGTACATTTCACATAACAGTACAGCAACAATGGAATCCTCATACCTTACATACATACTTACACATAGTAGTTACACATAGTGTCACTTCATAATAACAATATTATCATTACAGGGATTTTATATATTAAACAATTAAATATGATTAAAATATTGTAATAGTTTTAACAGATTTTATATTGCTTTTTTCTCATTCCGTTTACGCTGGCAACATTGAAGAACGCAAATACCGCGCACTTTTGTATTTAAATATAACGGATTCACGTGTAGATAATATAGTAAGGTCATGTATTGAATAAATATAAAACAATTGTCTGTATGAAACGTAAATACATGTGCCAAAAGTTGTATGGAAATAATTTGATGAGGAGCCCGCGTTGGCGTTAATTTATGAAGAGATCCCTCACTTAGTTTGTGTTGTGACTTGTGACCATAGATTACGTTCAATATTTACCTAATTCGTACAAATTCAGCAGTATTAGAGTGATTTTGTTAAAGTTATAATTGAGAAGTTTTTTTGTAATTAATTAAGTTTTTGTTATTTGTTAATGTGTACGTCCTGCAATTGAGGAAATGGTTATGATGAAGAAAATGTTTACAAAGTCCAAGCGGAATAAGTTTCGTGTGTCTTATTGTCTACCTATATCTGTATATATTGTGGGTCTATGGTTTATTTTATCGCTATTACACTTCGTGTATAGTAATTTCTGTTTTAATCTCGAACTATCTCCGCCACTAGACATGTTCTTAAAACTACGTTCAGCTTTTCAGCACTGTTCTCATTAAGCATAGGTGACATCAGGAGCCAAATGTAATATCGTAATGAATTAATAGATAATATATTGTATGACATGGAGTACTTATTTTTAGTTATAAAATGTGATTGTAATAATTTTAGTGAAAATTCAAAATGTTCAGTTCCTTCAATTTTTGTTACGAGTATTTATAAATTGTAATTCAATGATTTTTAGCTTTTAGATAATTGTTCTCTCCGATAAAGAGTATAATTAATTGTAAGGTTTATTTTTTGTAATTTAATTTGTTGTATTTTGCTTAATATAATGACAAATTAAATTAAATGATATCGTTATACATTAGGGTGTAAAAAAGATTATCTATTTGATCTTAAATAAAATACGAAAAAATATTTATGTTCTAGTATCATTCTAACGTGTAATTGAAATCGAGAGATGGAGCGTTGTAGTAAAATTCGTTTACGGTCACCGACGTAAAATGTAAAAAATAAAAATACGAAATACCAATTTGTCGTTTCATTTTAATGGGGCATTGATTAGAAAAATACTACAATATGTATACTTCTACCTATCCCCTTGAGACGAAGGCATAAGTGAGGATAAGTGTATACGTAAGTATACATCCCTGCAATTTAACACATTCCCCAAAGAGATAAAACAAGGTGCAATTCCAGAAAGGACCTGAAACCTGATATTCCTACCCACAAGACATCAGACTAAGCAGTTCTTGCTCGACTACTCAATAAACAAAACTCGCAATGCACGGTTGGTGTGGTGGCTGGGCAACCGGCTGCCGTGCAGCGTGCCGCGGGTTCGATTTCCGCACGGAAAAAACTTTTTTTTTTTTTTTTTATGGCATAAGCCGGTAAACGAGCAGACGGATCACCTGATGGAAAGCAATCGGCGTCGCCCATGGACACCTGGAACACCAGAGGCGTTACAAGTGCGTTACCGGCTATTTGTGGATTAGGAGTTTGAGGATTGTTGGGAACTTTGTGTAATCCACAAATTATTTTTACGAATCTGGGTGTCATGTGTATGTGAATTAGTATGTTTGTAAACGCACACACGACACAGGAGAAAATTCTAGTGCTTCCAAAATTCTTTTAAAAACAAAAAAAAATCATTTTCATCAATAACAACCCTTAACAATACTACTGGACTATGTGTCTCATCATGAGACTTGTCTACAAAACAGGGTTTACCCTAATTTCCACGCGTAAAAGGCGAGACAGAGATCGGGAGTTTAAAAGGATCAGCTTTATCAGAATAACTCGTAATAGTTCATTTTAATATAACAGGGAAGAGGTAGTCTAAAAAAATGAGATTAGAGACTATCGAAACCGACCGAAAATCGAGAGTATTAATTATATGGCAACCTCTTTTTACCCGACTGTAGAAAGGGTATTGTTTTTGTTATTTATTTTGTAAAGTATTATGTAGGAGTTACCAGTGGCCAGTGAGTCAGTGCTCCCATAATAAGCTATAAGCTAAAGAGTTGTTAAGGACCCAAGTTTAGAGGTAGAGGACACCTTTCATCAATTCGAGAGTCAGAGGCATTTCCCAGTAAAGCTTACCTACTTCTGCTGGTCCGTGAATCGAACCCGAGACTCCACGGTTGAGTCATGCTTATGACCACTTGTCTAATAAGGCAGTGAAAACATTTTCATGGATTCACGAGTATAACAATTGTATTGTAATGCTGTTTCGTTTGAAGTTGTGTTTTAGGTTTCATAATTAGGCCCACCCCATGCCTAGGTCATTCATTATCTCACGGGTATACAAGATTTTTATGTCTACGAGGCCACTGGATGGGAGTCCTCAGGGAGGACGGTGGCATAGTGGTCAAGTACCGCGATGCAAAGCGAGGCTCAAGATACCCATCTAAAGTCATTCATTCCCATCCATACTGTCCCTCGATTACAAAAAATGTTTTCACGGGAACTGTTTGTCTAGGGGTGCTATAATTTTCGTTTATAATTTTTTACTACGACCTCTTTGTTTTTGAGATATTGTAAGATTATCGAGTAATCCTCGTGTTTTTGGGTATGATAGGTAAAAAAAATAAAACAAAATATTCGATATCACATGAAATCATACCCTTTTATTTTCAGTTTCATTAAATATGATTTATAAATACAAAATTATATACTATTCGAACAGTGGTTACTGTGAGCGCTTACACATACCGTTTATACTCGTTGAGCAAATGCAAGCAATTTTATTCATCTTGTTACATATTTTATTTATTTTTATATTCCGTCTTACAATTGTATAATTTTCATTACGAAATGTCTATCTATTGAATTATTTAATTGTTTTATAATCTGTGACTCACCAATTCTAAGAAAAAAAGTAATAATTTTGGTTTATTCGAGAATTTTTATCACTGCGACTAATCTACTGAGGTAATTTCAATAAAACAATGTCAGTAAGTAGAAAAAACATTAAATTTGTCAACTTTTTTTTTCTATGACTTGCAACACTAATTTTCCTGTGGTCACACCACCATTTTTTAAGTCACAGATTAAAAAATGTTATTTACTTATTCCGTAGTCGTATTTATATCGTAGTCCATATTTTACAATCTATTTCGACAACAAGTAAAAAATTGCAAATGACTTCTATCAGACTTCATTCAGCAATTATCCTGTCCTAGAAAAAGCTAGACTTTTGATTGTTGGACTAACAATGAATAGCCAATCAAAGTGCTCCTACTGGCAGAATGATTACTAAATATAGCCCTTTGAGATTAAAACGGCATAAGACATTTAATAGGTGATGTTAAAGTGAATTAAAGAAACAAAATGTTCAAATAAAAATATTTCTATAGAGCAAAGCGACTTTATTGCATCACTTTAGAGTACCTAATTGCAAATCAACACTTGCTACGTCACATACGCCGTTTTAGCCTCAAAAAATAATTTGGGGTACAGAAAGAGTTTGAGGTAACTATTTTCTTGAACATATTTATTGATTCCTTGAATATCACACGGTTTTTGTATCAATTATTATTATTCGATAAATATTATTATTATATACAGATACACATTAGAGAATTGTTTAAATTATATTATTATTTGAATAATTTTAAGTACTAATAAACCAATATTAATGCTCGCTCCTTACTTATAGCTATGATTGAATTATGGCATGAGTTTTTGAATGTTAAAAGAGAAGTTACTGGTGGCGCTAGTGTAGATTTTGGTCTCTTTACCTACAGACTGTTTGTTAAGTATAAGCAATATTCCGGTTAGGTTTGGAAAGACCGTAAGCGTTACTAGCGCCAACAGACGTTTGCCAATATAAAATGTCTCGTTATGAAAAAAATAATACTTCGTGTCGTCTAAGATACTGGACCAATAGTTTCTTATTTTATAAAAATCTATTCACTATAATATTTAGGTCAATCTTATAAGCAAGGAGATTATTACTGAAGGACTCTTACAACAGTCACAATTTAAAACATTTACTTCTTAAACTATAACTGCGATTAGAGCACTTAATGAAAGGTAAATAAAGGTCAATTTCACATGCACTTACTCGATTCGCTCTTAGTTCAAATCAGACCATTCACAACACGTATATAATCTTATTTTGGAATAAGATTCTGTAGTATTTCCCTGTCTTTCGGGCAGTTTTGATAATCAATTTTGAACCTTACCAAAGACTGCTTTAAGGTGCAAATTGTTCAGCAATCATGCTGTGAAACAGAAATGGACCTTGGCTCATCTGTAATAAGGTTCATAATCATCAAAACCTGCCATTATTCACTACACATTTACTTACTCGACAATACGATTGTCCTTGTTTAATTAGATAATGTTTATGACAATTACACACGTAACCCTTACAATTTACGCATCTACAGCCTTAAAATAGAACACAAGAAGTAAAAATAGCCCTTAACAGGCTAGCTATAGAGTATCAAATTGTGTGTCCGTGGAATAGTTTTGACATTTATTTTGCCGCTAGAGTTTAATAGATGGCGAATACAAAATATGATCTCTAGACAGTAATTAATGTTAATGTCTATAAATAATTTGTTAAAAAATACTCCTTACGGTTTTATAATAGATACTTAACTATATTCTTAGAGACAATGTCAGTCAGGTCAAGGTCAGAAATAATAAATAAATAATAATAAATTTTATAATTAGAGACTATTTTGAGATTAATGTCAAAAACACTTCATGGATACAAAATGTCATATTAATGTTACAATTTTAAATACGCGTTATGTTTATCTACTTGTGTTCTATATGGACATAGATGACGGGCCATTAACACTTCCTCCAAATAAGTTCCCATTAAATATCATATACAATAGTGGTCACTTAAAAGAAGTAGTACATAAGCCAAACATTACATTATCCTAACATTACGTTTCCGCGAAACACATCCATTAAATGACAATATAATAACTTTTGTAAGACATACTAAATTAATTATTATGTTTTCGACTTACTCGCGTAACTGTTTGACGAGGAACATAATAATTAACTAAATGACTATTCAAAATGGCCATCGAACACACCAATAACATTAACATTCCATATCTTAAACATTCGCTATTTAAACAATAAATCCAAAGACACGCTAAACATACCATTTTTCCATTAAATTCGGATGGTCACCACTCTACTACACATAACATCACGACTTTCAACCTCCGAAGGGCTGCGCATAGACAATGTAACACCGACTTTACACCAGAGTACGCGTTAGTTTTACGTTTAACGAAATTGAAACGTTACCGCGTTCGACGCTCTGATTGGTTAGTTCATTGGAGTCAGCCAATCAGGGCGGCGAACGTCTACATGTCGATCATGTTATACGTAAACCCGTACTATACTCCCAGTTATGCTCCAAGTGATAGGGAACACAACTCTAACTTCACAGAAACAAAATAATAATTTAAACTTAAAAAATCAAATTGAACATTAATTAGAATATTTGTTTAATAATTACGTTAATGTTAGTACAACCTTATTCTAAATTAAGCAAGATTAACTCAGCTTATTTGGTAAATTTTATTTAAAATCAAAATCGCAAATCAGTGCAATTATAATAAGATTTTTGTTCACGCCTAAAAAGCCAAATTGTTCACAATTTTGTTTGAATATTATTACAATTATTTATTATATATTGTTTTTATTTTATCCTAATAGGAGAATATAGGTTTATGGTCCATTTGATTGGCCGTTGGATTAAAAAATTAGTACATGCAAATATTTAAATCATAATTATTTCGCATTCCACATAACATTTTTAAACATTACATAAATGGATACTGCGGCAATGCGACTCATAGGATCCCGTGAATTGTCAAGGACAACGAGTACCAGAAATTATACAAATGCGACAGTTAGGACAGTCCACAGCTAAAATTTCATAAATTAAAAAAAAATGCCGCTATAATGTAAAATATGAAATCGTCGAATTCGATATTCATTCGAAAACAAAAGATGACAATGCATTTTGTTCGTCAGCCAATCAAA